TATAAACATCACAATATCTGCAAATTCAGCTTGATTCCTATTTTATATTTATTTATTTTTGTCATATTTCTGATGACATGTGAAAGCTGAGGCACGATTCTGTCTAAAAGAAAGGGAAGTTGGGCTGTAGTTGGGAGAAGTTGATCAAGTGCGGTCATATTCTTGTTCTTTCAGTCCTCATGATGGACAGACAGCCTACCGCAGAGGATGTTGTTTGGAAACCATCCTGTAGTGTTAAAAAAGTGGAATTTACCTCAATGAGTTCAGTCATAGTCTATGGGAAGCAGTGTCGTCAATAAAGGTGGTCTGACCCCTTCATGTAGAAATCAGCTGCTGCCCCCCAGTCTTTTATGAAGGTTGTGAGTTTAACAGAGGGAAAAACAGCTTTCAACAAATTACCTTACCTATTTATCCATTTATCTGTTAATAATGTTAACATGCTTTCTCTTTTCCTGTCCTTGATGATCCCCCTCTTTTGATTTCTGTGCATTCCATCCTGGTCCTGCTCTCCAGATGATTTCAAGAACTTATTTATTTCAGAAAGTAAAGAAATCCCCCAAATTTTATTATATAGGCACCTGAAAACATGACTAATGTTTAGATAGTGCCATAGCAACAATACTTAAAGGGTTTTTGTTTTATGCTGTTAAACTAGATATTTTTTTTTTTTTTGACTCCTCCTGTCTGGCGTTGCATGCTGCCAGTGAGATGGCTGAAAGAAGGCACATTTGAAAATATTTCGCCCCCTGAAAGTCACTTAATAGTCTCGATCAATATACCAGCTTGTTAAACGCTAAAAAGAATGGATTGAAAAAGGGGTTAAATCGGTGCTCCCCAAAAATTGCTACTAGGTATGGGGTGTATATTTTCTGTTATTTTGGGGGAAAATCTTTATTTCAGAACCAAAGTGAAAATACACTTATAATGGTATTAAAAAAGGAATTAAAGTGTTACTTAAAGGTATAGTGGAGGATGTCATTTTTCCGGTGGGATCATCTAAATAAGTGGTCCTAATTGTCAACCATTCTGGGGATATTTTTTTGTAAGGCCATCCTACGTGCCATCCTCACGTGGTGAGGCAAAAAAAAAAAATCCTCCATTATACCTTTAATGTTTGCAACTTTAGGATTTAGTGTTGGATTTCTTAAATAAAATGAATTAGTTAATTTCTGTTAAGAAATGTTTTACAAAATGCAAATACTAAAACTAGTGATGCACAGAAAAATTCATATTCTGTGCGCCACTACATTTCAGAAACGAAACCATGAATTTTCTTGTAGTTGTAGGTCTTGTTGCAGCATCTCAGTAGCATTAGTGGTGTCCATCTACCTCCTGCTAACACTTTCTACACATGTCCTTGGTGTAAAGTTTTTTTTTTATCCCACCAGAGACTAAAAAAACACACCACATGACTTATAGTTACACCTTGGATCTCTGAGAATACTGCAAATGTGCCTCATATGTATGATAGGAATACATTTCTAAATTCTTCCAGCAAGGTCTTATTTTTGCAGTCAGAGTGTGTTAGATATTCCTTTTGTAGATTATTCAGCTGACATGCCTGCAGGAAATCACCTAGAGGGAAAGGCTGGGCTGCCTGTTTCCTCAACATACCCATCTATCTAAAAGTATTCGCATATTTTTACATAGTCTTGCTTGTTCGACGTGTTAATTCAAATTGGGTTATTTGTTGTTGTTGCAATATCTGTGAGTATTTGTTTCTAAACTCTAAAAAGTTTAAAACGGATGATGAAATGTTGAGTTTTGATGGGTAAAAACCGCTGTTAGGTCCGACTTCATCACTTCCTGTTTCTCTACAAGGCCAGTTCCTGTCTACAGCCTCAGGGCAATAGGCAGGAAGGAAAAGGACTTGGAGAAAGAATTAGAATTGCAAGTTGAACTCCAACGCAAGAATCCTAAATACCTAGTTTTTAGCCGAACATGATGCAAGGAAGTGAGGCTTGATGGTGCAACAGAAACAAGACTTGATCCATAATGTGTAAAATACCAGTGGAAACTTTCAGAATTACTAGCAATAGTCCACCTCTGGCCTCTATATCTGTAGGATGTGATGACATCATGGAGAAACAGGACATCCCGATGGTTAAGACGCCTTACTTTTCCACTGTTCCTTTCTAAGTCCGTCTCCCTCTCGCCTCCGTTTGTGAGAGGGTTCAATGACAGCTTGCTTCCCATTGTCCTATCATTCCTTCCCCACTCAGATTCTGCATCCTGTTAAGTTTCCTGCTCCTGGTGCAATGTTAGAAAGAGAGGGCCGAGCATTAAAGGTAAGAAAAACAGATGAGGAGGACAGGCTGTAAAAGTAATGGCTGCAGTCTTTAGGCTGAAATCAGTAAAACAGTACAGATTTAAGAGAGTGTGTGTGAGACTGCAGTGAATTTTCCCTTTGGGAGCAGCTTATCTGCAGTTCACTGAGCAGGAAAGGGTGTGTCATCTGGACATGGATGTTTGTGAGAGTGACGATGGTGATGGAGGGGTTGATGTTATTGTGATTTTTAGAAGAATGCACAGTGTGCTCAGTAGTTGGTTTTAGACCTAAGTTTTGTTGCTTCCTTACATTGTTTCAAAAACACCAATCGGCCTGTATACTGTAATGCGCCTCAGTGCTGAAGTGGAAAGTGACATTTCCACAGTTCTACTTCAGTAAAAAGGTTGATATACTTCTGCATCAGTCATGGGGAATGATCCGACTGTCGCTGGTGGTTCTAGGCAATAAAGTTCACCTTCCAGCTCCAATGTTTTCCAACTTATGTTATTCAGTCATTGTGAAAATATAAAAAACAAAACAAAAAAATATTTTTTTCAAGCTTTCAAGCCCTATATGCTAATCAGCCCATAACTTATTGCCGCCTCTCAAATGGTCAGAAGATCAAATAAAAAGATCATATTCTTTCTTCCCTTTTAGTGATATTTTATTTTGAAAAATAACCTTTTATAGCCTTCTCAATATAGCGGCTCTTTAAAATCTTTATTTCAAATACAGCATTGAAAGCACTCCTTTAGCTGCCGACCAACTGTTTGCATGCTTGCTTTGGTACTTTGTTAGTTCTTCTTTTGTGATAACCCCGTGTTTCTGATCAGGAAGGTCTCCTCCCCAAAACTCTAATCTTAATCCTTCCTTATGAAATATTTCATCATCTTGTTCTTGTAAAAAGTTTACGCCTGCTGTTTGAATAATTAGTTACATAACATTACCCCTCCCCCACACGTTGTTGTGTCCGCTGGCTAAAAGAAGCTAGGCTAAACTGACCCTACTAACAAAAAATACAAATCAGACATTTTGGAAATATTTCGGACAGCAAAAAAAAGAGACAGTCATACTGTATGAATTAGCATACTGCAAGAAATGCCTTCAGTGGATGGTAAATAGAATCCATGAAAATCATTTAAGCATCACCACTACATAATAATTAGCAAATTTGCAAGATTATAATCTGTAAATCCTGCTAATTTGTTAACAGTAGCAAATCCAACGTAAAAACATTAAAAAGATTTACCTAAAGATCCATGTGCCAAGAAGGAACTGCTCTGCTGCATCATTCAAAACGAGAGATAACCAGAAAATAGAGCAATGTTCAAAACAAGTTCCTTAAGTCTAACTATATATAAACCGTCGTTATCATGCTTTCTCATTTTTCTGCTCAAATAAAATCAGAAATTTAAATTCAGACTCACTGTGCGGCCCTTTGGGGTACGCATTGTGACTAACCGTTAAAGCCCACTGGATTGAGGCGTAGCATGAAGATCAATGCTTTTATTCCAGCCTAACCATTTTCTGTGTAAAAAAATCTTTACGTTTACAATGTTGGGTAGAATTAACGTAATTTATCTTTGTGTTTTATGGATATTAAATAGATGCACTTTACTAACAAAATGTAAATAAATGTACTCAAGCAAACAAAGTTCAAATTGTTGCCTTCATGTTTATGGGTAATTTTAGGGCACAAGCACCAGATTGTTAAATAACAACAAACATATAGGTCGATGGTTTCTCACATGAAAAAATAAGTTAAAGCTTTAAACATCAGAGCAGAGATGCAGCATTCCATTTCTTAATGGAAATGAGCTGATGACCTCTGCTCCATGAGGTTGTGCAGGAGCCTGCTAACCCGTGTGTCTGAATCAGATGTGTTCAGGCAGGAACTTGCATTGACCTCTCTTTCTGACATAAGCCAGGCCAACTTTAGGAACCCACAAAATTCTCATTCTAGGTTGTGAAAACACAAATTTGAGCATTAGGTAGTAAAATAATCCT